CCTCTCCCTCTCTTGCGCAGCTTTCAGATTTGGTGAGCCTTGAATTTCTCTCTTCTCTTGCTAGATGTAGTGAGGCAACATGGCGAGATAGGTAGTGAAGCTAACGGAGTGTTGTTTTTCCTACTTTTTCGCTAATATACCAAAATTTCCTTGAGGCCATTGACAAGTGAGACCATCATTTTTTTTTATGCTTCTTATAATCTATGCATAAACAATCTTATAAAAAATACAAAAATACAAAAAAAAAACTATGTTCTGCATGTTTTTGGTTCATTCTTGACAGCAATTGTCGCTCCAAGGCCTTAGATACCCTCATGAAGGATCTCAAAGTTTTTGCCGAAGGTAATGAAGAGCTGTTCAAAGAATTGCATCAAATGTGTATGGGTTCAATCCAACAGGAATCATAAGGCACTCTCTATGTGTGGAGATATAATGTCTATGATGAAGACTATGATGAAGGAAAATGCTAGATCATTGTTCATTATCATATAAATAAGGTACAACAAGCACCATATATGTATCTCTTCAATATGATTGATATATTTGCCAATGATCCTCGTACAACAACTTGTATAAGAATTGAAGAAATATTACTACATAACATTCTATAGTACCATTGGCTACTATATTTTCAAATCAGAAAAATACTAAGATACAAATTCAAAAAATCATTGGTCTTATCATCGACCTCGAGGGTCTTGCAATCTGTTGGTACTAAGCAACGAATCCCATCCTTTATCTACAATTAAGAATCATACAAGACATCAACTATACATGCAAAACCATATAGAAAAGATGAAATTTTTGATGGTCATTCGTGTTCAGCTCAACACATGACCTCTATCAAATACAAGGGCATTATCAATTCTCACAAGAACAAGGACATTCTTCATGCTGTTCTCTGAGTTGTAAGTGACATGTTGCAGGACATTCATTGGAGACGTGCTGCAGAGAAGGATTCGATCAACTGATATGTTGTATGGCACATTCGAATCATGATCCACTGGGGAAACAACAGTCTACTGCTGGAAATGATTACCTCATTGCCTGGAAAGGGCTGTGGCTGTATTTCAGTGCTCATGTCATTTATATTGACAGGGAAGCTTGTATTGCAGCCAACACCAAGCAGGGTGTCTTGCTCCTGTGAAATGTTGCATTGGGCTGTGACATAATCAATCAATTGTTGGTCATCAGATATCTGTGAATTTGACAGTTACCCAAAACAAAAAAAACTATTTGTGAGAGATGTGACCAAAATAAAATTTCAAATCTAACATAAGAAATTAAAGCAAGGTTTGAGTGAAGCATCATAAAACATCATACATCTTTGGAGACAAACAGCTCAATCAACCCTCTGCACTTGGAACCAAAACTCTGGTCCCATCTCTTTCCTGCAAAATGTAAGTAGAAACATATAGTTACATTTAATTATATGTTCAGAATATATGTTCAGAATGTTAGAATACATAGACTATTATCTTGTATTTTAACTCTTAGATGAGAAAATGTAATCTGAAGAAAATGAGAGAGAGAGAGCTTAGGGAAGAAGAAGAGCTAGCAGAATATTAGCTCAGCTCCCACACAAATCATACGTATATTGCTTCTGACAAAACCGTTAGGAATTGGAACATTCCTATTACATCATTTACAGATCAGCCATTCATTCACTACCCTATGAGATAGAGACACCTGGCATGCACAGTTACATCCTGACTGCACAGTTGGACTGTTATCCAACGGCTACATTTTCAAATGGAAAATAATAAACTATCTCAGCAGCTGCACTTATAAACTAACACTCCCTTCTAAGTGTTGTGCTGAGATAACACCTAAAGCCTTCCTTAGATACTCATACCGATCCCTTGCTAGAGGCTTGGTGAATATGTCAGGCCACAAGGGGCCTAAGCCTCTCAGTTAGATTTTGCATAATGATGGCATATCTACAGAGAATTTATTCAATAATGGATATTTCTTTAAAGAACAATCTACGGAATCTCATAATATGCAGAGATAATAATATTCCAAAAGCCACAAGAGACCTCAATTTCTCAAATTCTTGTTACAATAATTCCTCAAAAGCTCCTTCACCCAGCCAGTCATGGCCAAAACCAAAAGTTCCAGCCATAGGTATAAACAGAAACCAAAAGGCATAAAAGTAAGACAATTTGTAACAGTTATAAGTGAAAACAATAACCGATTACAGCTAGCCAACGTGCTAATCTAATGATTCCAGAGTAAAAAGTAGAATCCAACCACTTAATGAAACCACCCACATGCAAAACAAGAAGAAAAACAGATTCGGATCAAACACTTTCCCCAAATTACACCAACCAGTAGTGACACAAAAAAACAACAGATTATAATGCAACCGCAAGCCCATTCCCAGGTCTTTAATATTGACTGATATGAAATCCACGGTAACTGAGTCAAAATGGTACTCCTTAACGATATGGCATGAAAATTAGAAAATACTATCAAGTAAATGAGCCAAGTTTCGACCCCGCATTCATAACATTGTAGCAAATTCACAATCAGACCATTCAAACCAACAGGAAGAGAAACTAAACAGAAAATAATTCCAATTATGGTAGCAAAACTCACTGGACAGGAAATAATCCCCAAGTCAGCAAATTTTGTATTTGGGGTTCCCATGACTTTGCTTGCTTCGGCTTCCAAATCTCAATCTCAAGCTCAAATTTGCAGGTCAACTTTTTCAATTTCGGGTTTCAGACTTCCAGTCAATCGCAGTGTTCAAAAAATGGGGCTAGGCGGACGGCTAGGCGGCTGGGCGGGCCTCCTAGGCGGGTTGGGGCATTTTTCGGTGCCGAACAAGGAGGACGAAGGAGCCGAAACTTGACTGCGGCTGGCAGCTCC